ATAAGTCATTTTTCATTAAAAAAGATACAAACACATCACAAATTTTTCTTAAAGATAAGATGGAGAGAGTTTGTGAATGGTTTTAAATGGCAACAGAAGTATTTTGTCCAAGAGACAATAAAGGTTCCCTTGAAACTTCTTCAGGAGGATAGTAACATAGTCAGATTCATCCATTAGAAATACCAAGGTGGCAGCTGTATGAAAGGAGAGAATGGATCTAGGGAGAACAGTTAGAAGATCTGTAACAATTCAGGTGACAAAGGGCTGAACAAAGATTAGGGCTGTGAGAATAGAGAGAAAGGGATGAATGCAAGAGTAGTCATGGAAACAGAATCATTACTTCTTTCCTTCACTTCAGTTCCTGGACTTTTTGGCCACCAAGTCACTGATCCATGAACTAAAGCTTACTTGTTGAGCCTTAAGGACTCATACCTTTCATGCCTGGGCTCTTAACTTCTTGCCAGGTGGTTGTCCCAGTTACTCACTAAATCTAGACCCAGGCTCCAGCCATACTTCATTTCACTTTCAGTATTCTCCCAAACCATGCTGAGGCTCTAGTATCTCTAGTCAAATCTCCTTACCCTTTTCCTAGTTCTAACTCATAATAAAATTCATTCATTCAAAACAACTTTGTCATTATACTTGGAAAGAGTTTATCGATCACCATCCCATTAAATATGTCAATACTTCTAAATAGGAACACAGAAATTTAGTGAATAATCAAATTTGGCTTATTTCAAAAAGTCATAAAGAGAGATGAGAGAAATCCAAGTTTTGTGGAGGACACATACTCAAGAGTACAGTAAGAAAGGAAAGGGTAAGTTATAGCTTTGTTAAGAAAACTTCTATCATTAAAGGTTAGTCAAAAAGCAACAGGATTCTGAATAGGAGAGTTTTGATATACACATGTCCACACAATTGCGCCCATTAGACTCTCCTTAAAATGAAAAGAATAACCAGTATCACAAATGGTAACTATTACCAAGTCTCTTGTTCTGCTAAAGCATTCATTAACTGTTTGGGCTATGTTTAAAAGATAATACTTAGACATTTCCTTGTAGGAAGAGTAGATATTATCCAGTCATGATTTTTTATTTTGGATAAAGTTATAATATTTGAGCACCTAAATGAAACTGTCAAATACTGGATAAGTGGGGTTGGAAATTCCTATCTCTTGATCATGGTTTGATTTCAAAATCTCTAGTTGGCCTGTGAACTGAACTAGAGCATGTGGCAAGCTTCCCATTTACCACACACCACACATTGAAAGAAGCCCCCTGATTGCCCACAAGGGAAAGGAAGAGCAGATGGTAGGGGGAACTGGTCCTCATCACTCAGAGCAGGCAATGGCTCCAGGATGAAGGCTAAACCTGATGGATCCATTCAGCCTGCTGACGAAGTTTTAGAACATTTCATGAGGACAAAAAGCGTATGCTGAAAACATTACTAAGAACTCTTATCTAGTACATTCCCACTGTGTTTCCCTTTCTTTCCTTATACCTGACAGGCAGCATGACTTCATAGGCTGGTAACTGCTATTGCTCTGTTTAGGTCCATAACTATATATATGGCACTGATTCTTTCATTGCCACATACTGCTCACCATATTTGCACATCACAAATAACATTTGCCCACTCAAATAGAAATAGGAAACATAACTGTATTCTGAATATATTCCTGCCTAAAATACAAAATCTTTCAATTTACGTTCAGTTTTGATGAACACCAGATTGAAAGTTGAATATTAACTGGCATAAGATTTTCCTACTTCCTGAGAGGCATATTTGCAATAGTAACAGTGATAAAATTAAACCTCAATGATGCTTGATTTGAGGCTAAGTTAATATGTTTGGGAACCAGTCTTCAAGTAACGGCCAAAAGATGAGATAAACCTAGCCATTCTACTTACCACTACAGAACAATATAAATTATAAGTAGTCAATGTTCAGGAAAAAATACATTTTCTGACTATAATTTATAGAAAGTCTAAAATGGAAATCACAATTTATAAATACTGGTACTTGTTCATAAAAATAAATGATTATTCTGGACAACAAATGACATTTGAGTTGAATGAGTCAGTTTTGTCGTTGCAATAGTTCGACTCAATAAAATGTAATTTAAGAACACAAACTAGAAACAAAATGTAAACACAATACTGGTCACATAAAATTAGAACCCTGCTTCCTGACATTTAGTTTCTGTTCCTTTGTCTGGACTCAGTACCTAATATCAGGAAAAGGTAATTCTTTACCTGACCTTTGCCTTTTAAAACAAGTGCACTAGGCTTTATGTAGGTCCATGCATATTGCTGCTTTTCTGTATTACACTTGGGATCATGTGGAGAATGTAGTTCTATAAAGTGGTAAACTGTCTACTTCTGGGTGAGGGATAAATTACAGTACATTAGGATACCATCTAGTACATCTCCTCTGTCCTAAATCGGCTCAGTTAGTGTTCTAAATGGTTTTCTGATATGCTTGAAAAGTGATATTTCACCTTTACAAAAGTTTATGCTGAGATCATCTTACTGATTATATGATTAGATACATTATTAGAATTTGTAGAATTATTAGCTCTTTCCAAAATTCACCTCTGATACTTGGCTCATGGAAGAAGTGCATTCCAGACACAAAGAGAAAAAAAAGAACCTAGGTCAGGCTTTTGCCTTTATGTCTTTTGGGTCAGTACGGTCTAATAAAATGAAATTTTAGGGGGAAACCAATCATGGACATATTTGTATAATTTACTCAAAGCCCATTAAAAACAATGACTTACAGCTTATCCTTTCCAAAGAACAAAAGCATTCACAACTACTTTTTTTCAACCTGTAGCACATCTACCTATTTTTTCCACTTCTATCACCTTATTAAAAAACAAATGTAATTATTACCCACATTTGACAAATGGAAAGATTGAGAATAATGGAGATTAAATGACCACCCAAGGCACAAAGGTAGCAACCATAAGTGGAGGGATTCAAACCCAGGTCCTGTGACCCCAGAGTTAGTATTTTTTTTAGTAAACTTTCAATATATATGACCTTACCTAAATACCATTCTAAATTTCAATTATGCAGATATTGTTAGATTCCCTTTTATAAAAGGAAGCAATGCTAATGAAACAGCATTTTGGAAGGCAAAGAAACAATAGTACTTTTTATGTCGACAAATTATTTGGAGAAGGGAATAACTAAGAGAAAAAAATGCATCCAAATAAAATATTTCCTTAAACATAGTTTTTGTTGCTGTTGAATGGTTTAGCAGGTCTGACTGATGGGCTTCTAGCTCTTTCTACTTGACAAGCAACCTAATCAACTCAATATTTTTTTTTCCTTTTCTGTAAAGAAGAACTTTGGTAACAGTTACGTGGAAAGAATACTTCATTCTGAAGGCAGAATTTACTGAGGCCTTAAGATTAAATTCATAATCCTGTGGAAATGGCTAGAGATCCATTGAGACATTCACTGCCAGGAGGAAGCATGGACAGTATCCTGTAGGGAATATTGCTGCACTGGCCCCCAGGGGATGGACCAGATGGGACCTAATAGTTCTTTTTTACTTCTAATTTCTATGATAATTGCAAGTTGCCACGTGGCACATTTCTTTTAGCCAATTTAAATGGAAGAATCTGTCAAGAATATATCTATTCATGGAATCTCTCATTCTTTTATTCAAAATTGTATTTATGTAAAGCACCACAGGTAATAAATACTCACTTTTCTCTAAATATTAGCATGAACATGCATTTTTATAAGTGATGTACTTATAAATCAACATTTAGCCATCATCTATTAGTATAAACACCAACTAGAAACCAGGACACATTAAATTCGATTAAGTGGTCTGAGGACTTTTGGGAGAACTCTGTTCAGTTCATTGAATTTTTCTGTCTCATGATCTGAAACAATTCAGAGGGCTTTATAAGAATTGTGATATAGTTAATTTAATCTTTGAGAAAAATGAAAACTGTCACTTGCTATTGTTCTGCAACCAGATCAGAAATTGGAGAAAAAATATAATAGGAAAGGAATTATAACTGAAATATTACATTTGTGACCCATCTCCAATGAACCTTCCTTCACGAAGGCTTCCTTGATTTCCCATGGATGTGATTTCATTGTTCTTTTGAATCCTTGAAGCATTTTACTTATCACTCTTGAGGTATTTATCAGTCTAACTCATATTCTAGTTGTTGTGTACTTCTCTCTTCTCTATACTAAAATGCAAACTCTTTGAAGGTAGCAGCTATCTCTGTATCTCACTCAGTGCCTAACAGCATGTTCCACATTAAAGAAGTTCTGAATAAATTATTGTTGAATGAATTTATGGATGGAAGAAAACCATAAGCAAGTATTAGCATTTCTCGTGTTCAAACCACAGATATTTAGTTATTTGTATATCAGTAAGTCAATGAGCATTTATCAATTGCTTACTACGTATCAGGCATCAAGTTAATCACTGAGAATACAAAGAAAGGTGGAAACAGTCTCTGCCCTCAAGGAGCTCACATTCTAATGGGGCAATGACATGTAAATAACTAGATACATGTACGATATGTACAGAGTAGATGGAAGTCAGAGGGGAAGACTCTAGCTGCTGGGGGACAGGGGAAGAGAAGGACTGTGTGGACTGGGAAAAGCTTCCTTCAGAAATATGATTTGAATTGAGTCTTAAAGTAAGTCAGGGAGACTAAGAGGTAAAAGTATAAAGGGAGAGTATCATGAAGATAATTTCAAATTTAAAGTAGCATAAAATCATTGCATATATTAGAAAATTACCAAAAACTGTGAGGAGGCTATGACTTGGTGTTTTTGTTTTAAACACACAGTATTAGTTTGAAGTTCACTTAAAATGTCTCTGAAAAAAAATTATTTATAATTGATTGCAAAAATTTCTCTCCTATCCTGTTTTCATTACTTACCTCTTATAACCACAGAGTTTTCATCATACTGAATTCTTCAATGCAATGAAATTACGGTTACAAAGCCAAAGGATACAAACTCTGGTAGAGGGGTATGAGAGACTTCACAGCCCTGCTAGCATTGATGCAGGTAGCACATATAAGACTTGGCAGCAATTTTGCAGTCACTATTGCTCCATCAAACAAAGGCCCAAAAAATGGAATCTGTGGAAGAAAAGAAAAGCCATTTAGTTGTTAAAAACAGCACCAATGAACCCTAGATGAGAATGTGATCAATTAGCAAATGTAATGACTACATATTTACTATTCATGTCTATAGATTATACTTTGAATTTAATAGGACATAGTTTTCTTCCAAATCAAAACAGGATAGTTCTTCACTGTTACCTACTTCTGAATGGCAGTAAAGATGTTTTAGCACAAAATTAACAAATTGCTAGCTTATTTTGAATACTGCCATTTACAAAATATGTCTAATTTACTAGCTAGTATTCTAAATGCATATATCCCACAACATGAACAACAGAGTTCACATCTGAGTGAACATTTTCTGATAATAGTTTTGCATTTTTCTGAGAATAGTTTTTAAATCTGCAGTATTTTCTGCCATAGGGTTGCATTAATATGCAAAAGTCTCAGAGATAACCAGTGACCTCCAAATCACCAAATCTACTATGTTATACCTAGTTCTTATTCTCTACGACCTTTCCACGAAATATCTGATACATCTGCCCACCTTTTCTTTTCTCCCTTGTTTTCAAAAGAGATTATATTTGTAAAGCACTTGGCCCGAGCCTGGCACATAGTAAGTATTATATACATGCTTATTCCCTTTCCTCCTTCTCCTTTTCTATAACATTAGATCTAAGTTTTCCTTCTATACCTCTGACTGCACCTTCTATGTTTCCTTCCTCGTTCCACTTCCTAATGGGGGAAGAGAGAGTATTTTCTTAATTCTTTGGGCTCTATTTTTTTCTCCCTACACTCTCACTTGAGGATTATATTTATGTTCACTAATCAGGCTCCAAGCCTCAGAATTATCTTCAATTCCTCCCTTTCTCTATTATTCCCATATTCAATCATTTATAGCGTATAATTTATTCTTCTTTCACAAAGTCTTTTGCAACCATCCTTTCTATTCTCATTGACATCACCCAAGTTAAGACCTTTGTCAGATTATGCTAAGTGATTTCCCTGCCTCTACCTTCTCTCATTTCCAATATCTTCTGCTTACAACTTGTAAGCTTTGCTGTGTAAAATAATGCTTTTATCATATCGCTTTCTCTCCCCCCACCTACCACAACAGCTTCTTATGCCTTACAAAATGTGTTATCAATTCCATAATCCTAAAAAGCTTCATATACTCTGGCCCTCTATACCATTCCAACCTCATCCATGCAAATAAAATACAGGGAACTGTGAGCAGAACACTTTGTCTGAAGTAGAAGGTTTATGAAGAGGAAAAACTAGTATATTCAAAGTTCCCTGGGCTTTCTCTTCCCAGTGAATGTGGCTCACCCTTATGCCCCTGTCTGAAATGCATTTACTGCTACTTTGCTACTCAATACTTTCCATTCCTCAAGGTCTAAGTTCTATATCTCAAACTTGTCTATAAAGATGAACCTGACAACTCCATTCAGAAGTGGTTTTTCCACATCTTCTATACTTTCATGGCACATATCTCAGCATTTATTATTTTGTATTACCACAAATATTAAGTATATACTATATAATAACTAGATTGTAAATCCCCTTGGGGAATAGGATCCTGCCTTTTATGCATATAGAAGAGGTTTAGACATAGTAGGCACTTAATTAAAAAAAACAAATAAATTAACTCATTCTTTCCTAGCATTGACCCTTTTTAGTGCTATATAGGTAGATTTGGAGTAGTAGACCTAGCATCCTCATCCTTCTTCCTACAACATGCTAAGTACAGTGTTCACCCCCTGGGCAGTTAGCTCTTATCCAGATAGTCCAAAGCCAAAGCCTTATCACTCAGAGACTGTGATTAAACGGTTCATGGTACAATGGAAAATTGTCAACAGTAATACAATTACTGATATCTGAAAACTAACAATGTGAGGCGAAAAACTATATATTTGATTATGTGAAAAGCAAAACCCAATTACAGTAGTTTTATGTTAATGGCTGACCATTTATATATAATTAGCATGAAGCAATTGAAGATTATGTTTATCATTAGAAGAGCCACATTAACTTTGCTGTAAGTTGTATGTGATTTCAACCATTTCATTACAAAATCTAGACAAGCATGCTGTTACCACAGTCTACAACTCAGGAAACAAAGTTGTTTGCTCATGATTTTAAAAAATTAGAGGGAATATTATTGTTTAGGATAAAACAACTCTACAAAGACTTTGGCAAGCATGGAGTCAAAGTGAATTTGCTAATAATATCCAAAGGTAGTTAACTAGTCTGTGTGAATTACCACCAGCTCCAAATATACCCAAATCAACTCTTATGGATGGAAACATCTACCTCTACAGACTTCATGGTGGTAAAGATAAAATCAGGTACTGCCTCATTTTTTTATCTGAGCTAAGTAAAGGTAGCTATATTTTGATTTACATAGAGAATAAAAGTATGAATTTATTTTGTAAGTCATTAAAATAAAGTAATTCATTATAATGAAATAATTAAAATAAAATAAAATAGACCTTCCTAAATGACTGGGCCCTAATCCAGATATGCCAGTTCCAGTATCTGATTAGACATTGTTAAGATAATGTCAACTAAAGATGAACTAAACCAATACTATTTTTCACTGCAATTATCCATCAGAAAACTAAATCTAGTTCTACATCTCTGAACAAATTATTTTCATAACCTAAATAAATTTGAAAAATTATTAAATGCATAGTATCTACAAGAAGTAATTGAGATGCCTCTTACAGCATTCCTTAAAAATAACTAGGGCAGAATCTTTTTGAGAAGTTTGTTTCAGCACAGCTGGTTTCTAGACTGGGTACCAGACATAATCAACACTAATAATTAGCTCAATAGTTCTATAATCAGGATAAGTAACATACACAGTGTTGGAGATTTCTATGTCCATTTTAATTTTTCTTTCATCAGAATTGGATCCAGACCAGTACACTTTTACACTCGTCCCTATTCTTCACCAGATTTTGTGAATGCAAAGAAAGCTTTTGAAGAAAAGAGATGACTCAAAGTCCATATTGCCGCACAATTACCCTGGCAGCTAAAGACAGGACAAATAGTTTGGGCAATGACAGATGAGAAAACTTGAGGCACAAAGGGCACTCTGAAATTTCCCTTTATAATCTCGTGGCACATCTCTTAAGAGAACAAATGGAGCCACCTTAATGTGACACCACCTACTCCTGCCAAATCACCAACACCTTCTGGCAAAGGGCAATGTACATCTGACCTCTGCTAATTGTTCTAAAGAGATAATCATTAACCCATGAAATTAGAATCGTTGCCTTAGAAGATCTATAACTGTAAGACCCAAAACACTTTCAAAAATATAAATGCAAAATACTTTATTTCCTGAATTTCATCAGAATAGTGGACATTTGTATCAAAGGCATGAAAGGTCAAAATCTTTGTGCTTTTGGGTACTCCTTTAATTATTACCAAAACTTTATGATTTGCTAAAACAAACCAATAAACAAAAAACTCTGAGTCACATTTCAATTGGATTTGATAAACTTGCCTAAAAATGTGTAGCTTTGTACACAAAGAACCAACTACACAATTACAAAGCATCTATCACAAAAAAAAATGGAAACAAGAAACTATACTAGCGTGTTTTTATATATGTAATAGGGACTGGCAAACATGCAGAACATGTGTGGCGTCATCTCTTGATGTGGCAAAGTACAGGAAGCCTGCACTGGGAAGAGTCAAAAGAGTAACAAGCAAGGGCTTTGTGCATGAGGCAGTCCTCTTTACACTTGAAAAGAAAAGAACACTAGAAATTGATTTTAAGCAAAGCTCTACTATGAACTCATAACTTAGAAGAGTTAAGAGTCTTAAGTTCTTAGAATGTTTATTGCATCCTGACTAAAAAAAAATCACTTGTAGAACAAAATAGTCTTCAAGGTTCTCTTCAAACAAGGTATTTCCAATAAAAGCTCTCCAGGTCATAAAACCAACAAAATGAAGGACTAGATTTTTTTTTCTACTCCCAATTATGTACCAGAAGTAGAGAATTTGCTGCTATTTTCCCAAACAAGAAATCAACCTGGCACTCAACTCTCACATTTGGCTCCAAGAACCCCTTGCATGCACAGCAGCCTCAGCAGATGGACTAAACCAGATTGAGGCTAACCAATGAGCTTCAAACCTGTCACTGAGTTAGGGGGTGTCCACCCCAATCATGTGAATACTTCCCTGAAGGAATGGGCAAATGAGAACAATTTGTTCCAATGGCCATGAAGTCAGCTGAAGTAGATGCTGTGGAGTCTTAGAGCTTGGTCAGACATCAAAGATGCCAAGGTCATTCACTGTATCCCAGGCCATCTCCACTTGTCCTGACTTTTTTCTCCCCACTGGACTCTGATGAGTGAGGAAGAGAGAATGAGCCTGTATATCCCAGGGAGATCATACAAATGGGAAAAGGACCCACATGCACAAAAATATTTATAGCAGCTCTTTTCATGGTGGCAAAGAATTGGAAATTGAGAGGATGCCCATCAGTTGGGGAATGGCTGAGCAAGTTGTGGTATATGAATGTAATGGAATACTATTGTGCTCTAAGAAATGTTGAACAGGCTGACTTCAGAAAAACTTGGAAAGACTTGTATGGTCTGATGCTGAGTGAAGTAAGCAGAACCAGGAGAACGTTGTACACAATAATAGCCATGTTGTGCAATGACTAATATTGATAAACTTAACCCTTCTCAGCAATGCAAAGATCTAAGACATCTCCAAAGGCCTAGTGATGGAAAATGCTATCCACAAAGAAGAAAGAACTATGGAGTCTGAATGCAGATAGAAGAATACTATTTGCTATTTTTTTTCTTCTGTTGTGTTTTGTTTCCTCTTTCTTTTTTTTTTTTGTCTGTTTAGTTTTTTGTTTCCTCTTTCTGGTGGTTCCTCCTATTGGTTCTAACTCTTACTTACAACATCACTAATGTGAAAATAGCCTATATCAGATTTCAAGCTGTCTTGGGGAGGGAGGTGGGATGGAAGGAGGAGAAAAATTTAAAACT